TGAAAAAAGTTGTATCAACGTTTCATTTCTCGGAAGTTGAGAATGAACTGCCTGCCAAAATTAACATATCCATCCAAAGGATATGTAACGTGCAAATTTTGTGAATACGTTTATTGCGTTTAGAAGACTTGCATCGTTATTGCCTTCACCTATTACTCCATACGAAAGAATTAATATGTCGGGACATATGCTGCACACGTTTCAGTGAACCCAGTGCCCGTAATTTCATGTTTTTAAACAAATTCGGTATACTGCAGGATAAAGGGCTGTAGAATAATATCTGGAGTCCCATTTATGGTTAGTGACCCAGTCTTTATGACATCAGTGATAAAGACAGGATAATGAATTGGAAAGGATATGGAATGAAGTGGCCATAGCCTGATGTACTATTCCAGCATTAGGCTGGAGGGACAAGCGAATACCATGAAAACCCCTATTCGGAATAGAATATTTTATTATGTCAGGTAAATTTCTGCACAGGACTGTTCCACATTACATTATTATGCAAAGTATAGTGAGTTGAGATTTCAGATTCTCATGGTTGTATCAAGATGTCATCTGGGTTGTTTGCCTTGTAGTCTGGTAGAAATTCACCTGCATTTAAGATGTGCTTATTGCCTCAATAATGAGGGTGACTGAAGATGACATCTGGGACATTACACCGTGGTAGAATTTTACCAGCTTTCCAGATGTGCTTACTGCCTCCACCATCAGAGTGATGGGCGATTCAATTCAATTTTATTCATCCTACTTTGTCAAAACAATTGACATAGGATACATCTTTCAAATACATGGTTCACAAGTTATATCAATACTACCACACAATACAAATACAATTCATAGAATGCACCTACTCAAATACACTCTTCTGATTTACATGACATGTATTCATCTACTGAATAAAATGTACATTTTAAAATGTCATTTTCTCCACTTCCCTAATTTGACTTGGTAATTTATTTTATGGTTTTATTCCTATATTTCCTACACCTTTCTTGAGAACATTCATTCTACAGAACTGGACATGGAGGTCCCAACATTTGGCATGTGTTGTGGTTATGGATTTCAGTGTTTTGTTCTAATTTATCTATATGCAGCTTTATGTGGCATATTATTTCAAATACATACATGCATGCTAATGGGAGATGATGGAGACTGTAAGCACCTCTGAAGTGTACATTAAGTTTTCTTTAATGGTGGACTGAGGATTTGGTGCTGTGGTTTAATGTATGGAACATATTGCAATGTTGGTAATAAGACCAATGGTCGACATAAGCAAAATAACACAATTATAATCAAGTACTTTATTTTCATATTAAGCACAAAGCAGGATATGAATGAAACTTACACAACTGCATCAAAATCACAGTACCTTTGGCACACTAATCACAGTGCACATACCAAACTGTTTCATAAAATGCAAACCATAGCCAAGTGGGATATGAAGTTCTTATGGTAGTGATTATGAAGATGGCTGCCTTCTGCATTGTAGGATTGTAAGGTCTTGTAGACAGCCATTCTTCATATCTAAGATTTTGGGCCATAAACTTTATGTTGATTTGCATACTTGTAATATTAAGTTTGGTAAGCCAGTTCAGTATGACATACTGGCTTGCAGGTCGCATAAAGAGTGGCGGGCAATTGTAAAGTACTGAGGTTTAAATCCCCAATTTTTATATGATAAAGGCTAACTCCTCCCCCCACAAAAGTGGTTCCCTGCCTTGCATGAGAACAGTCATTTTAATTCAACAACTCAATTATCAAATCAATATAAATGTGATAATCTGAAAGCTGACAGTTTTCTTTCCCAGGCAAGTGTAGATAATGAAGTACTAAGTACTTAAGTACTTTGCCATTTTGTACAATTTCATAAAATTAAAATTAATCCCAAGAATTCAAAACACAATTGTGGGGATGGCGCATCAAACATCAAAAACTGTGTGTGATTTGAATCAGTTTCCAACAGTATAAAGCACAAGTAGCTTTTTGAACGCTTAGTATAAAAGAAAAATGTAAATACCTACAACTATAAAAAAATATTTAAAAATATGGGAACAATATGGTATAATACAAAAACATTCCTCAGTATAAAGCTATAGATTATCTGTCAATACATATGTAATGTCTAACTACGAGATAACAATGAGTAATGTTACTACTGTGGTACCAAAAGCTGCTCCAGCATCTAGAAACCCTGGAAGTGTTGATGTTAATTAATTTTCTACGTCACATACATATTTGGTGTTTTATAATATGAAAACATCAGAAGATGATAAGAGCATATCCAGTATGAAGCCCTCAGAAGGCAGATGTCAAAAGAAAATGTACTGTGATAATGGCAAGCAGGTATTGTTACTGTAAATACATATTTAGATGTAACTAAAGAGCAGAGTAATGATACTGACAGGTAATAATTTAATTTGTGTTCTGTCTGACGACAGGTCCATATGAACAGGATCCTTCCATCCTTTTCTCGGACTGGGACCTGTTCATATACGTTCTTGGCAGATGATCCAGAAGTGGTTTGCCATTGCCTTCTTCTGTGTGTGAATGGAGTAATTGTTGGGATGCCACGGAGAAACCGGGGAAGCCCCCGGAGGAAAACTCCGTGTTGCCTAGACCACGGCCTTGCCCAACACAAGTTATAAATTCGGGCACCGCCGGGAATCGAACCCGAGACCCCAGGATTATAATACAAAAAATAAATAAGTGATGTATAGTGCATCACAGTCCTGCAACTGCTAAGAAAAGGAAGTTCTGCACATGTATGAATTTCAGGTCAACTAAGGAAGTTAAAATTAACCAAATTTAGACATAGTAGAACTGGCACTTTCCTCTAAATACACTTGAAATATGTTATGGCATTTACTCCGTTCAGCTATCACTACTTTGGCTGTACTGTAATTACGGCCCCATGCATCAAAATATTTTACACAACTCTTTGATAATTTCCTTTGTTGTGACATAAGACATGCTTACACATATTCTGTATAATCCATACAGTAGACTAGTGACTGACAGAAAAAATTAACCAAATATGTGGATGGAAGTAGCCAAATGCTAGTTCATATTTCACTGAACCTTACACTGCTCAAACATTCAAATTAAAACTGAGATTCCACAGGAGTAAAATTTGATGTTTAAGATAGAACAATGGCCTACGTAAATATAAATATTATTTAAGAAATGTAAGAGATATATAATGAACGCTTCTAGGGCTACCAGCCATGTCAGGTGGTTGAAAGGTGAAAAAGAATGATTTATTATACTTAGCTGCTGTTAAAACTCCAAATCATACAAATGTAAGAGGCAGTTTACATTACATACAAGAAAATTAAGAGAGAAGAAATTTACATGATCAAAGGCTCTACTTCAAAGTTCTGCTTTGTTAAAATACAATGTCCTTTTAAGTCATTTTTCAAAAGACTCAGCATTTCAGAGTTTTGAAAATTCTACGTTTAGATTAAATCTATATTAATGTATCTTCTTCAACATCTTTGAATATAACATATAAAATGCTGCACTTCATAATCTCCATATTGAATTATAAGACTAGGAATACTGCACTGCAAGGATATGCAAGTTAAGTTTCAGCTGAGAATTTAAAATATCACCTAGAAGTATACATACAGAAAGGGAAATGTGCATGTTTCATAATAAGACTAGAAGACAAAATAATATAAAGACAACTGTCAAAAGGTCTGAAGAGTATTAATAAATTTATAGTAAATTATCGTGAGGAATGGAAAGCTCATACCAAAAGTATTTTGTAATTTTTAATATTAATACTGTTAAACACTTTGGGCAACGAATGTTCAAATGGCATGAGAATACTTTTCTTGTCAGCCTAAACAAAAGTACAGCATCTTGTTCTTAAGTTGTGTGCTATATCAGGTAATAAGTGCATTTGATCTGAAATTAAGTTCTTGCATATCCTTATGTCATAATCTTGTTACACCTCTTACCCCGGTTAACATGAACAGGCATACAGTGTTAATATCTCGCAACAAAATCAGCAATTCTGAACCAGATGTAAGCCTATGTGCACCCCAAGTAGCATATGATACGTTTCATACATTTTCAAGAGGACCTTGAAAGTCATTTTATAAAACATGATTATACTTACTTTGAGATAAAAATTAAGTCTCCATTGCATAGGGGGACATGAAGCCCCACTCTGAGACCAAGGGATACGCAGACTAAGAAAGGTTCAGAAATGCTGAACTATAAGTATCTTTTTTCATAAAAATACAAAACAAATACACATATATTTAAAAAAATAAACAATGCTTCACCTCCTTGATCTGCCTGCAGCGGCTGATCTAAGTTTGAACCTGCTCTAATTCAGGTATGTACTGTTCATAATGGAAGCCAGCAGCATACATTTCGAAGTTCAAATGAATCTGAAAGCAGAAACTTAATTGAACATTTTTGTGGCAAAGCAACGTATCACTATCAAACTTTTGGTCTCAGACACCCGAGCCAATTTATCTCAATTAATTTGCAAGATAAGCCAAATATCGAACATCATTTTTTTTTGTCCATTTGATAACTGTACCTCTTTTATGGAAAACATCCTACAAGTGACCCTTACCATGCTATCATCCAACATATTCTCTAATATGTGTGTAATTTCTCGGAATGTGGGCCTCTCATCCAGGTCCAGCTGCCAACACTGCAGCATCAGCTGATAGAGATCATCATCAACACACTGCAACTGAGGAAGACGATGTCCTCGCATAACTCTGCTGCCCACATCACTTGTGGCAACATCGGCATATGGTGTCCCACCTAAAGGCAGATATTCCTAAATACAAATTGTATTCTCACAAACAAACAAAAATACAAAGAGTCACAAGTTTAGCTAACTGTGAATGTGCGCTCATATAAAATACAATAAAATCCAAAAATCTAGTAAAATGCATTCACATTATGCCCATTTTAAAAGATGAGTGAGCAACTATACTCTTTCACAACTCACCAAGTGCACTAATCTCCCACAGAACGCAAGCAAAAGACCACACATCACTCTTGTTCACATGTGGCCTGCCTCGGAATATTTCCTGTGCCGTCCATCTCGTGTAGTCAGGTTTCTGAAAGAAATGTAAGTATTATGTGTAAAAAGTGGTTTAATTAATCTCTTGAAGAAATACATAAACAAGAAGAGTATGATGCCTCACCTCTCGACACTTATTATAACGTGCAATTCCACAGCCTGTAACTTTTGGCACTACACCATCTACCATTAACACATTCCTAGCCGCTAGTTTCGTGTGGATAATTTTCTTGGAAGTTAAGTAGTCCATTGCTCGTGCAATGCCAACAGCTGCTTCTAAAATCTGCCTCTCACTGAGGGAGCATATTCGTTGCTTGGAACGACCTACATCTGATACTGACACTTGGACGGAGTATGGCGCGATGGAACGTTCCAAGCAACGACTTTCTACAAGTACATCTTTCAAGCTGGCAGGATGATGTTCAACCACAACAAACAACGTGTCTGGATTTTCACATGTTCCCACAAGACTTGCTATATTTTCGTGCGTGCCAAGCCGTATCAAGACACCAAGGTCTCGCAACATTGATCTCTTCTTATCGGGTGGTAAATCCCCATCTGCAATTGTGTGAATGGCAACAGGGATGGGAAACCCTCTTTGTTGAACAGTTCCTCTCATTACATTGCCATACTGTCCCTGCCCTAATACATCTGATTTTACATCCAGAAAGTTACGAGGTATGTTCCACACTTGACGTTTCAAGTTTTCGTAGTGATTCACTCTTTCGTCCTCTTCTTCAGGTATGAAACCATTATGAATATAACCATTTGGTTCCTGAAAACAGGGATGGTAATTAGAATTACAAATAGTAAATTTCGTCAGACTGGGATGCAACTCTTTTATGCCACTGACTTACTACTTCAATCATAGGTCCCTGCAGAGAGAGTTCCTGGTGATCAGAATTTAGCCTGCGCCTACCCAGATGCCTGCGAAGCATACAATAAGCAACCACTGACAGCAGGAGTATAAATCCAAACACACCGATGGCTACAGACAGTCCAATAACCAACCCAGAACCTCCAACATCTGCCACTGTAAGAACAGCAATTAAGCATTATTCGCATCGTACCCTGTAACAAGCTTTTTGCATTAAAGACCTTGCTCAAAGATTATCTAATTTCAAATCAAATGTGTTAAATTCTAACATTTGTAGGCTTAAACACAAAACATTTCACACTAACGTCATAATGAGTGGACACAATACATCACTTTCTTTTTCCAACATTGTTTTTATTTGGTAACATCTTATGGAACAACAGAAGTTTAAAATGGCAGAACACAGCACACTCTTATTTGGAAATGTGCAAAAATGTTCTATAAATTTTTGAAGCTTTTAAGAAGACTTCTTGGTCAACTGTAAAATTAATGCATTTCACAGTAAACTCTTGGTTCACACATTCACATTCTACAGTTGATTACACAAGATTACAATTCAGGATATAAACTTTAAAACACTTTGTTTGGAGTTGTTTAAACATTTCCTTTTATCGACTGCATCTCACCTGGTACGTTATCTCCTATGTTAAGGACCACGTGGCCCAAATGAGCATATGTCACTTTAGTGACATTGTTCAGACTGCTCACCACTCCGAGGGTAACATGCACATCATAGTCCAGTGGCAATGGTGGGTTATAATAATTTCCATATGTGCGGCCATCACCAACAACAAATTCATCTTTCAGATCCTGGAATAAAGGAAGAGAGTTTCAGGACCCACATTTACATGATTCTCAATATGATAATTATTGATCTTATCAAAGATATTTCTAGTGGCCTTACAAGCTGTCATGTCATGTCATATTGAAGACGGTTACCAACATTTCATCTTCAGAGCAATGTCACTCACTCCGACATTCCAGTATTCACCCTGAAGATGGAAGCAATATATTCTTCTGAAATATGGGTAACCACCTACAAGATCATATGGTGTCAAAACTTATAAGACGTCTACAAAGCGTCCGCAGATATTCCCAGTCACAAATGTCATAAGAACGCAGATCGAAAGATGGCTATCTTCTGTGTTGTAGCACCGTGTAGTCTGGTAAAGTTTACCAGCATTTCAGAAGTCCCTGCTGCCTCCATCATCATGGCACCATCACCCACAACACAGATCCAATTCTCAACAGTGAAAGAGCTAAGAGTAACTTCATGAAGTTCTGACATCAAATCACTGAACACTCTGTACATGACGTATCTTACCTGGGGTTTTAATTCTGCAGCAATATAGTAGGACAACCCTTCAAATTCAGCCTCATGAAAAGATTTCAGCAAATCTTTCCTGAATGCTTCACGTCCTGCCTCATAAACCACCACTATACGATACGCTGTAATTGGACCATTTTCATTTATCACTGGTGACAACTGAACCAAAATCTGACCTTTGTCCCTTCTTAAAATTCTAGGTACTTCTGGCTCTTCGGGTTCTGGAAAGTTCAAATCCGACATCAACATCACATCAAAACATAAAATATAAGAGCACAATTATATGAAGGAAAATCAATACCTCCGACTCAATACAGAAACTAATAAAACCAAAGAGTTTTGTTTAAAAATTAAATAACTTCAAATAAACTTTCCATTAGACTCTTTAAAGTCTGAAATTTCCTTGAAAGGCTTATGCCACTGTTTCATTAGTGCCTTTCCACAGTCAAAAAATGTTCACACGTTTCCGAAGACATACTCGCAAACGCATAGTACTCAATTTAATAACATTCCAGCATTATATTATTCTTTATTTACAAACCATCTGAAAAATGCCACATTCACTACTTCCTAATCAACTGGAGCAATAAATTATATAAAATATAATGTTCTGGTAAGAAATAAAGATAGATACATAGGAAGTACTTAGAGTTTGTTATGATGTTAAAAGAACAAAATACATGACCAAGTTCTGACATAATCTGCCATACTCACCTCCTATCTGCGTCCAGATTGTATCCGACACCTTCACTCCAGTTACGTGGTCAGAGTGAGTAGCTACGGATATATTGTACAGACTGCCTGGATGAAGGTCTGGTAATCCAGCTTTTAAAGTAGAATTCGGAAACACCCATTGTCGCGGTTCCAGCTGGGTGATTGTAGAATAGGTATTTATGCAGTCTGCCACAACAATGTACTCGGTAAACACGTCGTTAAGAGCGGCTGGAGGGGTCCAGACCGCCTGCACGCTGGTGACCGTGGCATTAAAAAGTTTCAGTGATGTAGGAGGGCCAGGAACTGTACAATAAAATTCAAACTAAAATGTCAAAAGTAGAATTGCCTTACAAAAATTTTCTAGGGGCAAACAGCTCTTTAATATATCAGGAGAGTTAAAAAGTGCAGAAATACATCTAGGCAGACCCTGAGAATACACATACTAGATTTAATTAATTCTTTCTTCTTGGGCTACCAGCCATGTCAGGTACTTAATTTTCCCGTGGACGAAGACGAGGACAATTCTTGAAACGTCGGCATTCTCGAATTTAGACCACCTGACATGGCCGGCAGCCCAAGAACAATTCATTATACTTGGTCACCATGAAACTTTAGACCCTACAAATACCAGATTGGTTAAAATACAGAATCAGGAACACATACGTGGATAATGAAAACACAACTGTATCCCCCTGCACACCACAAGAAAACGTCTTGTGTGACATTACAGTGAAGGGATTATGATGATAGACAACTATAATACGTACCCCTCCATCCAGTGTCAAGCACAGCATTAGACAAACTGCCTTCACAGGACCCTGTTTCATTGGCATTGCATGACTGTAAGCATTCTGCAGGATGGTATCTGCCATACGAACTGTCACAATAACAAGCCTGTGCATTCTTGAAGAATGCATATCTGTAATCAACATCAACCTATATAACTTATCATAGAAGAGTAACAGGCAACTCTAAGGCTGGCAGCAAGACACGTAAGAATGAAGAATAATCTCTGCATAAGAAATCCATCACATTTACATCTCTCTGCAAATGACGTAACTGTTGGGTTCTTATAACTGCAGAGTTTATAACAGTCATGAAGCAGAAAGAATGAAAAGTGGTCTAGGCCTATTATAAGACATCACATAGCTGGAAGAACTAAGCAAACAATTAAAAAACACTGATTAACAGGCCTCTGGACTGAAATATGAATCTAGTATCATCCATGTATAAGCAGCACTGATAACCAATCAACCGAGATAATTTCTGTTTCTAAAACAAATTTAATTTGAAACAAAAGTTCCCAGAAGAATTTGTTACATCTGCTACTGTTTTTATTAATGAATAATTACACAAATTACGGTCTACCCTTCTGCATTTCATGTTCTATTAGCATAGATGTCTACTGCAAATCAAATCTCATAACTTACAAGTTCAGTTTTCTTATAAAAAAACACCGTGTCTGCCTAAAATTTGGGTCCCTCAGACTTTCTACGTCTGAGAGACCCAACGGTATCTGATAGCCATGTGCAATAAACTGCTGAGAGTTTCAAGTGACAATGACTACTAACAACAGTACTGGAGAGGTACTGGGAAGGGAATAAAAAACTTTACTGCCTTGAAGTAAACAAATATTGTCAAGGCACTGTCATGACTTCATCATATATCAAGCAGAAAAAGTTAATGGAAAATGTGGTGATAATAGTCATTCTGTCACAGAAAACAAAAACTGATACGAAAGTTACCTGAAAAATTTCTGCTTACAAACTGCTTTGCATGACTCTGCTGACAGAGGCACTACTGCATTTGTGATATTGAAGGGAAGATCACGGTAATCATGATCTTTTTGAAAGCAACCCACTACAGACAAAGGAGTACCAATATCTTCATGCTTAATCTGAATTTCTCCAATGCATATGGACAGAACACTCCAAGTCAGAAATAAAAGTATCTCAACTTGAGAAGAGGAATATAATTCCATTCCTTTGTCTGAAACAATATATAATAATGATCACTGTAAATGAAAATCCTGGAGAAACATAAATTTAACATATAAAAACTATGTGCATGTACACAATCAAATATTTCATATGGCCTTTGGCTTTGGTTTTGAACCTCTTGGTAGAAATCCTTTTGTATATTTACAAGTTTCAAGCTATTTTCTTCCCCGTTCAATGCAATGGTTATACATAAATGTGTTTAATTTTGCCAAAAATAGACCAGCAAGTACTGCATATTCTTAGGCACTCAAAGAACAAAAATGTTTTATGTGATTCGTCTTGTATAAGGATTCAAACAAACGTGGGACACGCCTCACACACACACACACACACACACACGAACCTGATCAATGCTACGTTGACACTTTAACACTAACAAATTGAAATTATATAAAACATTATTCAGCACAAAAAATTCTGTATAAATGAACACATAAGAGAAATAAATGTAAACAGTCAACTTTGCAGATTCTGAGGCAAGCACAAAAAACCAAATTCGTAAACGACATGAACCGCCATTGTATAAATATCTTTACGCCGTTATCAGTGTCGCCACCATAGTCGTCACATATTCAAAACAAGCTCCATACTAAACTGATTTTAAATCTAGTGGAAAAGATAAAACGGAAACATAAATAGTTTTTACAATTAAAACACACAAAACATTTTTGGCATACTTAAATAATTCATTATTACTCAGGCTCTAGTTCTAGTACACACACGGATAAACAAATGACAAAGCCTGCTAAACAATTTCCAGTATCACCAGGAAAGTGTTGTTGGCATTGGTAATTGATGATAGGATGGTTGAATATGGTTACAGTACATTTTTCCGGAAAGCTGATTTCTACCTACGAGTTTACACAGCCCTACAAACTAGAGAAATAACATAGGCCTATTCCAATCTTCAATTTTCTAGATGGACGAACTTTAGTGCAACAATGACCAATGTGAGGTGGCGCAAAAAACACCTCTGGAATGTCAGTAGCATATACTCGAAAGAGCACATTTTTTCCAGTCTCGTTCTATCTTCCGTCTGAGGTCATTTCTGTGCAACATTGTGTTCGAATCACGGGCAGTACCACTGAACAACGAACTCGGTTCCCACTGTTGCGGAAGTGTGTTACAACAATGAAGAAACTGTGCAGACATTGTTCTTAGGTGAGCGAGCGATTATCTTTCGGCCCTTTTTTGCGATCTCTATATGAGTACGACAGAAGCATTTTTTTCTCTTTTCGTTGTGCAACTTTTGTATAACCGATCGGTTTATTGTTATTGCTGACGTCTTCCGACTTCCGGTTGTTATCCGTCTATATCCAGCCACTTGTCCACGATCCTCTGTCGGACACTGCATCCTAGATCTTTATCTTGGTTTTCCTATCTTGTCTTTCCTTGTGACATCACTTGAGCTCTTCTGTCACTCACTTCCTGCATGCGTACAGCCTTGCGACAAGAGTGCGGTGCAAGATGATCACTTTCTGCGTCAAATCAACTCCGCAAAAGCTGGCTATTCCAATATCGCTGACAGATTTGCTGATTCTTATATGCATAACATTAAGCGACAGATATTCACCCAATTTCCTGTCAGTGAACATTGACTAACGTTTCGTAAGTTACTAGCCTTTACAAGTGTACGTGTTGTGAAATATTTTGATAAAATGTATTTTTCTGTTGGAGTCTGACAAATGTTATCGTTTGCCTCGCTTGTCGGATATCTTTATTTTGACAGCAGCCCTAATCGTATTCCCATAATTAAGCACGTTGTCTCCTTAACGTTTTTTTAACATCATTACGCCACAATATTACTGAAATATACGCAGGTTGCAATAGAAGTAGACTTGCGACATGTTAGAGCCTTTTCGCTGTAATAAAGCTTGAAAAACGTTACTGGCTTTACGACAATGGTTTCAAAACACGGCCCTTTCGATCTAGCAGCATAAAGACCACATACAGTTACAACATGGCGGGCGCTGATAAAATATTGTCTCAGTTAATCCTATAATGTGGTAGGATGGCGTTATCTAAAGCAGTAAATTTATTTTTAACTGAGAATATGACCATGACGATAGTGTGAATTATCAATTTCCTTCATATTTCACAAAGAAAAAGAGATGAAACTGAAATAAATTCTTTTCAGGTTACTTCTGGATATAATCAGGTATAAGAAACAGGTTCAGGCACCAAATGTGCTGATGCATTTACGTTGTCCCATGCCAATTTCTAAAACATAAGAGTGTGTTCATAAAGAAAAGCAACTTGTGGAATTAACCTACTTCTCATTATGTTTCCAGAGTAAATATTGGCCTATCCGATTAATCCTGTTACGTAACTCTGAAGAACTTAAAGTTCTCTGCTGAAGAATGCACATACTTTCTGTGAAGTGAACAGAAGAAAACGTTCGTTCATTGGATCGAATCACTTTTTGAATACACTGGTACTGACCTAGTGTCCGTGCCTTTGCCAAAGCGCAAATTTTAAATATATCAAAAGTTTATCGCTATTTTGTTAAAAAAAAACAGTTAATTTGAACACTCACAAAACCTTATTCTTTTCTTGCACGTAGGCATTCCGTCCAACAGCTTTACTTCAAGCCCACTAACTGGCATAGGGTGTCCACTTGGACGTAGGATTACCGCTTAAAAAGTGGCCGCTTTAATCCATCGTCCATACGGAAAACCCACATCTTATAGAAATATTCCTGGAAGCCGAGGCAGTTCTTCAGACCTGATGCAATGTCAACCAGACGTGAATTAAATTTCACGTTGTAGGATTTGAGGTCATCACGGAGACTGCTGTCTTCTGAGTTGTGGCGTCGTGCAGACTCGTAAATGGATACCAGCGTTTCGTCAGGGTTGAAGATGGAGACGGTAGGTTCCTCCGAAATCTTTCTAGCCTATTCACTTGTGAATCTACACAGCGTCACAACACAGATCAGTGTCGTCATTTCCCCAGCCGTGAGAACATCATTTTTTTTTTAAAGTTGGTAGTTCTGCTAGAGATGAAGAACTCCAAGTTAGTTTCTGTGTACCCATAAGCCCTCCACCGAATCCTCCCGTGAGTTTTTTATTCATTTATTTATTTAGTGTTCTGTCTGACGACAGGTCCATATGAACAGGATCCTTCCATCCTTTTCTCGGACTGGGACCTGTTCATATACGTTCTTGGCAGATGATCCAAAAGTGGTTTGCCATTGCCTTCTTCTATGTGTGAATGGAGTAATTGTTGGGATGCCAATGAGGAAAACTCCGTGTTGCCTAGGCCACGGCCTTGCCCAACACAAGTTAAAAATTCGGGCACCGCCGGGAATCGAACCCGAGACCCCAGGATTACAAGGCCAGCGT